CCCCCCCCGGTGCTTCCACCGCCGGGTTGAGGTTGGTTTCTTTTTATTTTTTTCCTTGTTTTTTTAATAAGTGATGTTACAGTTACGAATTTTTCTTTCTCCCGACTCTTAGTCATAAATAATTACTTTAATGCAAGAGCTTCTGAAACTGATTTCTTGCATGGATATATCAAAATTCCGATTATGGAGGTCTTCAAAAGCTGAAGAACTTAAACCATTGGTCCCCATTTGTCTTGAAAATTAGACAGAGGGTAACCGAATTTTAGCCCTTGGAATATTAGCATTTAAACTATTGGTCCCCATTTTTCTTGAAAATTGGATGGAGGGTAGTAAACCATTGAGTGTAGCAAAACCCTTTTTTTCCATTAATTCAAGAAATAAGGGAATATAGATTAAAGATTAATACTAATATTAGCAAATAGAGTAGTGTTGTGATGATTTTTTTTTTTTTTTTGTTTTTGTATAAGTTTGATAACAATGTCTAACAGGTAGACAGAGCAAGTGGTATGAATCTAGAATTAAGATAGTTCTATGGAAACTGAATTCCACCCATAATTAAGGGAAGTCTTTTTCCCCTTTTGGTGGAAGATAAACATTTTCTATTAACCAAACACCAGAGAAATGACTATTGCACATAAAACATTTTCTTGGAAAGTGGCGTTTATTATAGCAAACAAACCTATGTCCTTTTGAGGCTGCTTTCTCAACAGGAAAAGCAGCAAATTCCATTGTGCCGTCAAGACTATAACAGACTACATTATAGCATGGGCATTGATTTCTTTAATGGGGATGGTCCAAGCTTTTCTAGAAAAATAATGCTTTTATTTTACCAATGCCAAATTATGACATAATATAATCAAAACTAAAACCCATTTGTCTGTTGGGTCTCCTGTGAGTGGAAACTCTATATTAGATGCTAGAGCATAGAAACATTCAAATCCTTATTATGTAAGCAAAAATGGCATATGAAGGTTGTGGATGCTTATAATCAAGACTAACATGTTGCATAAGTAAATTATTTATTGCTCTTTTAGTTCGATTTTATATGCATTCTTTTCTTTTTAGTTTGTTAAAAAGAGATTGATACCTTTCTATATGTGAACTTTTTGAATTTTAGCATTTTCATTTTACCTTGATGACATTCTCATTTAAACGTTACATGATAGTTTAAGACCACAAGATTTTAGGAGTATCTTTGGTAGGAATGGCAGGCGGTGCGGGGCGAGTTCTGTCTGAACCCGCACAATTTCAACCCGCTCCGCATAGGATTTAAACCCGCATTCACCCGCTCCACACTCCACCCGCGTTCACCCGCCCCGCAAATTTTTTAAATAAAAATTCTCTTTTTTGGTGCTTTTTTTGACAATAAAAATTAGCCGAAGGAAATCCTGATTGTTGTCTCATATGTTCCAAGTGATTACCACATAAATTATGAGGGAGCTATAAACACATAGCTAAAAAGCACAATATGATGCCAATTTTAAGTGTTTATTTCTTATTCTTGTGTATTGAAATGTCCGAATCGTAAGACTGAATTGTCTTTCAGTTATTATAAAAGGAATAAGACTAAATTTTGTGGACTCTGATTTGACAGAGGAAATGCTTCTGATACATTTGTTAGCAACATGGTAATTTCCAGAGTGAGGTTTATGTATACCTCTCTGGTGAGTGTAAAGATTTGCAAGCAAACATAATGTTGAACCCCAATCAACATGTAAATCAAGACACGTTCAAGAAAGTAGGAGTATTGAACATAAGAGCAAAAAAAATATAAGCCACCATAATATATAGCCTTATCCACGCATCAATGCCATTCTAATTTTACCTGTATCAGAAATGTCACAAGCATCAGTGTCATTCTAATTTTATAATACTTATCGTACGTCAAAGAATTGAAAATCCCAAAAGATATTAGTGTGGCTGATAGCGTTTTAGCCTTTTAGGCTTTAAGCTCAAAAAAATTTAAATCTTGACCCGCGCCCTGCCCCACGTTAATTCTTTTTTAAAAAATTAGAACCCGCCCTGCCCGCAAACACTGTAACCCGCCCCGCGACGCGAATGTTGAAACCCGCCCCGGCCCGCACCGCCCCATTGCCATCCCTAATCTTTGGTAAGTTATACATATTTAACTTGTGTGTCAAAAGCTTTCTTTTATTAAGGGTGTGTTTGGTACGAAGGAATGTTTTTCAATTTTCCCATGTTTGGTTGGCTTAAATGTTTTGGAAAATATTTTCCTCATCAACTAAAATGTTTTCCCTATCAAAAGTAGGGAAAACATTTTCCAAAACTCTTTTTCAACCTTCTCCACCCTATTCTCCATGCTCACCAACCCTCACCTACCCCACCCCCAAACAACCCCAACCCGTACCCCCTCCTCCCAACCACACCCCACCCACCCTAACCTCGCCCACCACACACTCAAATAGAACTATTATCAAGAGTATTTTCTTTTGTAGATAGAAATGCTTGTATTCTTTTCATGATATAGTAAAAGTATTTTATTTCATTTCAAATAAACGAGTGCTTTTTTTTCCCATGATGTATAAAAAAGTATTTTCTTTCATTTCAACAAAACGAGTACTTTCTTTTCATGATGTACAAAAAGTATTTTCTTTCATTTCAACAAACTAAGTATTTTCTTTCTTAGGAGTACTTTATTTTTATAAAAGTATTTTCTTTCATTTCAACTAACTAAGTATTTTCGTTCATTTTAGCAAAACGAGTACACTTTCTTTTCATGATGTAGAAATAATATCTTCTCATTTCAACAAACTGAGTATTTTCTTTTTATGATGTAGAAAATATATTTCTTTCATTCAACAAAATGAGTAATTTATTTTCATATTGTAGAACTTTCTTTTTCAACAAAATAAAGTATTTTCTTTTTAGTTATCGAGCTCAAATATTTGTTTTTGTGTGAAAAAGTAAAGTAGCACATTAGTTCCTTTGGGTTTGTGTGAATTTTAAGAAGAATAATTAAATTTTTGAAAAAAGTGGGGGGGGGGGGGGCAAGAAACATGAGAATTTTGGGCAAGGTGGGTTGAGGAGAGTATCATAAAAAATTATTTTTTTAAAAATATTTTATACTCTCTAACCAAACACTAGAAAGTATTTTCCGGAAAATGTTTTTCACTCACCAAACAAACAAAGAAAAATAAGTAATAAAACCATACATTTTTCAGGAAAATATTTTCATTATACCAAACACACCCTAAAGACGAAATACATAAACGACCCCTTTAAGTTGTCCTTAATGATTAGTTGGACACTTCAACTGAGCCCATTTCCAGTTAGACACTTCAAGCCTTTAATAAAATAGGTCAATTAAACAATCCAAACCAACAAACCACATGCGTGAGTTACACTTGCGGACGATGTGTCAAATGGACAAATCATTAAATGACACGTGTATTTTCTTAAAAATAATTATAGTAGCTTTCCCTTCCACCAAGACCATCTTCCCCACCCCCAATTATTTGGTCAGTTATGTCAACCTTATCACTGTCACCCGCCAAATCACCTCCACTTTTTTTTTTTCCAAAACTAAATAAGAAATCGTCCTAACCCACTTGATTGATACATTTCCACACGCGAAGAACCAATTCTCAAATCCAATTGCGGTGGAATTGGAAGGTTTTAGATGGCTTTTTATTTTTACTTATCATATTTGGGGTAAATGAGGGAGACGAAAGAGGTGATATTGGATCATCCGAATGGCAACATTGTTTTCCTAGCCACAAAATAAACCTACATACAGTAACAACGCCGCATGCATTTTCTGTGGAGTTTCTACCATCTTCAAAGAGGTAACCCAGAGAACTTGTCCACTACTAACTCCACGATGACCCATAATCTCAACTTTTAAATGCTAGTTTCTGAGTAGTAGGGACTAGATCTGTGGAGAGAAGGAACGGAGTAGTGGTTGTGATGGAAGTTCTGTCCCCTGATGTTTTTTTTAATGCGAAATCGGGTGGTTTTATGGCATGGAGGGGAAAGGTGAAGAAAAATGTTGGGGGCAGAGAAGGTTAGCATCCGGGTGGAGGAAAAAATTGGAGAAGGAGGTGTGAGAATTAGGTGGGGTCCACATTGAATTTAGGTAGAAAAAAAGAGTAAAAAATTTAATTCTAAAGAGTTTCACGCGCTCCAATATGAGTGTAAGACACAAATTTTGCCATGACAGCGTAAGGTGTCTAAGAGACACACTTCTACCCAAGCAGAAGTGTCTAACTGAAGTGTCCAGCTGATCGTTAAGGACAACTTAAAGGGATTGCTCATATATTTCACCTTTATTAAACTCTATATCCTGTCAAATACCGCCATATTTATTGAGATCAAGTATTATGTATTGAGAAAAAGATAATGTGCAGTCACTTAGTTGAGAAACAAGGACAATCAAAAATTTAGTTGATAAACAAGGAGAACAATGAGCTATCTTGTTGCTATCAAAGTCATTAATACCTTAATTCAGCCATAGCAACTGGTGGGATTGAGATCAAGTATTATGTGTTGAGAAAAAGATAATGTGCAGTCACTTAGTTGAGAAACAAGGACAATCAAAAATTTAGTTGATAAACAAGGAGAACAATGAGCTATCTTGTTGCTATCAAAGTCATTAATACCTTAATTCAGCCATAGCAACTGGTGGGAAATACACGTTATTCTTGCCATTTTGTGTAGCACATGAAAGTTCTTGTTGAAATTATTGGACCTATGTTTTAGTTGTGTCCCTAATTTTCTTTCTATGTTTGGGTTGTTGCTATTCGTTGTAGGAAGGACAATACATTTACCGTGATTGAATTTTCCTTTTTTAGAGGAGAGTATGGATCTATCATAATTGGCGATTTCCTTTACTTGCAGTAAAAGACAACAGGCTTCTATAGAATTGAGGAATTTCTTTCTCGCTTGGTGGCATCCACATTATAGCCTTTCATATTGAGAGACTTTAGTTTAGGGAAATAATTTGGGAGATAAAAGTGTTAACCCTCACCTGTGTGAACCTCTTTACTAGTGAGTTTTGTGAGTTATGTTGTACTTCCTTTTATATTCTCTTTTGATTAGTGAACTGTTCATCTCCACCTAGGGGCGTACGTCTAGTAGATCGAACAACGTAAATCATTGTACTTCCTTTGGCATGTTTCTCTTTATGCTCTAATTTACCATTGTTGTGTGCATGCGTTGTTAGATTGCACAATATCCCGGGGTTTTGATCCTAACACTGTGATCTATGAAGCTTACGATATGTAACCTCTTCATGCCATACTTTGTACTTGTAGAATAAGTTTTATAAAAATTGGATGTGTGGGAGTGATGACTGTTTTGAAATCCATCCTAAGGTCAATTGGGAATTGGTTTTTAACAGCTCATATAACCTGCCTGACGAGCTTTCCTTTGACATTGATTCATTCCACCTGATTATTAAGATTGACATTGAGTCTGGATTGATCTGTGCAAGCCTTTTGAAGTATGTTGTTACTTTCTTGACTAGAACTTAAAGTTGGATTTGTTTATGCAGCATGTGTGAAGCATGTTCTATGCAACCTTCACTTATGTTTGTTGGTTCAAATGGCCAGGACTTACAATCGTGATGACAGATACCTATAAAGGAGTTGAAGATGGAAGGGACAAACTTGATAGACTTACAGATCTTCCTATTAATGTCATACACCAGATTCAGGAGTACATGGCTGTTGAGGATGCCACAAGAATGAGTGTCTTGTCCAGTAAGTGGAGACATGTTTGGGCTTCAAACCCGAAGCTCATAATTTCTGTGGACTTCTGCATAACGAGAAAGCAGTTAGGCACACTAGACATCATTAATAGAGTTCTATTGCAACATTATGGACCAATTAAGACATTTCTCCTTGATATTTCAATGATACATCCTTCTGAGCACTCAGTTATTGATCTATGGATGCTACATTTGTCAAGAAATGGTCTTGTGGAGCTCACCCTTCGGTGTTTAGAATATCTCAATACTCCTTATAAGTTGCCTTCCTCTGTGTACGGTGTAGAACTAGAACATTTGAGTCTCTCAAACTGCATTTTCAGGCCGCCTTGCAGTTTTAGAGGTTTCCACAAGCTGAAAAGCCTTACACTAAGTCGAGTCGCCTTTCAGTTAGATGTTGCAACTTCTTTCCTCTGTGTTCCAAACCTTAAGAATCTGATGTTTGTGAAGTGTATTGGTCTTACTCACTTAAATATATATGCCCCAGAGCTTTTAACTTTAAAAGTTGTACGCTGTGACATTGAAACGATTAAACTGGGTCCTTTTATGGACTGTCGGAAGCTGCAGTGTTTTGCAGTTATATCACGAGACGAAGTTCCACAGAATGGACAACATGAAGCAATTAACTTGATAAAACTTCTCAGCAGCTGGCCTGAACTTAGAAAACTTCTTTTGGACAGATACTTCATCAAGGTAAGATGGAAATTTGTATCTTTGCATAGCTCAGTACGACATACATATTTGTATATTAACGTTCTTCTGGGGGTTCCTTTTTTGTTTTTGTTTTGGCTGTCTAGTTTTTGTCCTCTGGTAATGTAGCAGGGTTGCTCTCAACAAGGCTCAATGACTTGCACGACCTCGCCTTTTGTGATTACGATTTTAATGACGAAGATCAAGTTTGCTCATTGCTATGCGTTCTTAGAAGTTCTCCTAATTTGAAGTCGCTTGTACTTGTGGTGAGTTGTTGAATTCATGAGTTGTTATTCTTTTACCGAGTATAGAGGTGCAAATCATACTAATTTTCCTTTATACTACTTATAGTTGAGTCACATAAAGAAAGGCTCTGGGGAAGTGGATGTAAATCATTTGGAAGGACAAGGCTGTAGTATTGGTGAATTCAATAACCTTCAAGCTCTGAGAATATGTTTCTTCCATGGTTCAAGAGTGGAATTGCTGTTTGTAAGGTTATTGCTGGCGTCTGCACCTTTTCTCCGGGAGATGATCATTGAAGTAGATAAAAAGGTTAGTGAAAGCCACGCCACTAAGATTTCTGAGAAGTTGATGCAGTTTCCTCGACCAGCTCTTACACAAGTAATATACCACAGGTAAGTGATAAATGATTGAGATGACTTGATCCTCGTTCTCACTGCTGTAATGGTTACTGCGGATGTTCTTATTGGCCCCTTATTAACGATTTAAAGTTTCATGTTTGTCATATCTGAATGATATATATAGCAGCACCTAACTTTTTTATTTTGTTGGTACATCTGTAGAAGCTCCTTGTAGCAACAGATCATGATGATATTTGGAAAAAAAGAAACTTGTGAGATAACTGAAATATAATTTATAAATAAAGAAAGGAAGAGGGTACAAAAGTAAATCCTGTGTGTCTACTTCCAAAAGGAGATGAAAAAGAAAATCAGACAGAAACTTGCTAGATACTACAAGCATGAATTGGACATGCAACTAGAGACCGCGAACGTGCTACTCTTGTCTATTCTTCAAGGCTGAGGAAGAATACTGAGATATTTTGATGTGATTTTATTCACTAGCTGCAAGCATATTAAGTTATTTGAAATGTAAAGAAGATGGTATCTGTATAATGGCTATTTTTTTTTTTTTTGACATTTTAAAATTGAGAATTGTCTTTGGCATTTAAAGTTTCTTGACAAATGATTATTTTCCCGTGCCTATGTTTCGGAGGAGAATACTCAAATGAATTGGTATTGTAGTATATTGATTCCCAAATGTCAAGGAGAAAAATAGAATCCCATAACTCAAAGGTTAAGGGGAAATTTTTAAAATTTATGGTTTAATATTTTGTTTACACAATTAGTGTGGCTTTACATATTATAATATACTAGTTACCATTTTTATAAGGTTATCAATTACTTTCCTATCTCATTTCCTGAGCCGAGGGTCTATTGGAAACATCCTCTCTATCCTCACAAGGTAGGGGTAAGGTCTGCGTACATACTACCCTATCCAGATCTCACAGTGTGGGATAATATTGGGTATTGTTGTTAGGGATGCCAATGGATATTTAAAAACGGACTAAACCGGTCGAATTGTACCGCAACGAATCGATTTTTATGTTTCTTTTAATAAAACTGTAGGTTTTTATATAAATCTATAACCGTACCGATAATTAGGGTAGGTTTTTTGTTTTATGAAAATAAATCGAAAAAATACCGAACCGTACCGAATAAATTTACATGAAAAAATATATTTATATATTAAGTTTAAAAATAATAAAGCATTAATATTTTCTTTGGCCTTGAAATTATGAAAACGGTTACAAGCTAACAAGTAATTAAACACAAAATCCTTATTCCCAAACCTACTATACTACTATTGAAACTAAATTATTTTCAGCATATTCACTAGGAAGACACAAGGTATTCTAACGATTATGAGTAGCAAATTACAATGTATTGAATATTTTTTCTTTCGCATGATTTAAATTTATATTTTCGAATATTTAATCTTTTATAGACTTTATTCTTAAGTCACAACTTAATATCTTTCCACTCATGTGATTTATATTCTTTGTCTTTGTTTAGTTTCTTTTACGCTGTTGTAGAATAGTTGATGGATCTATACTTTGGCTATCTTTCATATTTTCTTAATTCATCACCCTTTAAATAGTAAAAATGTCTAGAGAGTTTTGCTAAGTCCTATAAAAGTACGTATATTGTTGCATTCTGCTTCTACTAGTGACTTTTAAAAAAATACCGAAAATTAATCGAACCGTACCGATATCGAAGAGAAACCGACATGATTTGTACGGTTTCTAAAAGTCTAATTTTGGTTATACATAATAGAATAACCGAAAAATTGATATGGTATAAATTTTATAAAATAACCGGCCGAACCGAACCATTGACACCCCTAATTGTTGTTGTAAGAAATCAAAGGAGACTTTGAACATGTCAGTCCGGGGGTGGCTCATAAAATTGATGCTTAAAGGCAAACTACAATATAGGCCTTAAATATCCTTTGAATCTTGATCTTAAACATGCCATGTCATTCCAACACATATATGTGTGTGCGCGCGCACTTCATTTGTTATATTTTATGTATTTTAATTTAACTCTAAATAAAGTTTAAGAGTATAATTTATTTTAAATTTTGTAGTGTTAAACTAAAGACGTGTATAATATACCAAAAATATCCTTTGAATCTTGGTTTAAATGTGTCGTGTCATTCCTATATATAAGAGAGTGTGTCGTTAAAGCTAAAATGAAAAAGTAGGATTAGAAACTTACTTAATATAGAAAGATATATTTTCTTAAAATAGACTAAAACAGAAAGTGAAACAATTGGTTAAAGTTGAAAAAGAGTATTTGAAGTTGAAATTGAGAAAGATATTTGGAAGTTAAAACTATTCTTTGCACATAAATTTTTCACTTAAAAAATATTGAATTTTGTGACTAAAAATTATTATTTCACTTGAAATATTTCTCGAATTAATTTTTGAACTTTTAAAAATTTCAATAACAATCTGAACTTGAAATGATGCTAATTTAAGATTGTTTAAATAATAAGAATTAACGAAAGAGAGAGAAAGAAAGCAAAATTTATTATGCATTAATATATGGAAGTAAAGGTTTAATATTTGTATATTACAAAAATATTAAATAAATTATATATTATATACATCATATAAAAGAATTTTAGTAAGTTGGGGGCCTCACAAATTTTGGACCTAAGCTTAAGCCGATACTCTGTCACCGAAAAGTATCTCATTTATACGAAGGTGTTTGATTGAGTATAAGGACAGGTTCAACTTTCAAATATGTTTCTATTTTCACTCCTTCGTATAAAAAATAAGTTTTTATATCAAGTGGCTCATAAGTTTTTGGGAAAATTAAAGAAATTTAGGGTGTGTTTGGTATAACGAAAAATATTTTTCCATTTTTCACTATTTGGTTGTACAAAATAGTTTGAAAAATATTTTCCTAGATATCACATTTTCCTGAAATTGAAAGAAAATGAATTTCGTAGAAAACGTTAGGAAAATATTTTTCAAAAACTCCACGNTCCCCCGCGGCAAAAATTTTTATCTTTTATTTTCAGTTCAATTCCTATTTTTTTATTTTTCAGTTTATAGGTTCAAAATTTTACGAGTTCCAAAGTTATGAGCTCAGAGGTTTATGTGTTTGGAAGTTTGCGGGTTTAAAAATTTAGCGGTTCGAAAGTTTATGCAATTTGTGGGTTCAGAAGATTGTTGGTTCGAAAGCTTATGGCTTCATGTTTATTTTATCTAAATTATTTATGAATATTCTTGAGAAGTTATTTTCCTTAATTTGCGTATTAAACACCGTAAAATGAGTAAGATTACTACTTGTCCAAGAAAATATTTTCCTGAAAAACATAAAATATTTTTCCATTTTTCACTGTTTGGTTGCACAAAATAGTTTGGAAAATATTTTGCTAGGTATCACATTTTCCCTAATTTGGAAGAAAGTGATTTAACTAGAAAAAGTTAGGAAAACATTTTCCAAAAATTCCATGTATCCTCACATCTAACCCCAACCCCTTCCCCCTTCTCTACCCTATCCCACA